AGGTTCAGTCTGTAGGTTCAGTCTGCAGGTTCAGTCTGTAGGTTCAGCCTCTGGTAACGTGGAACCGTTTGCCTGATGGCATCAGTTAAGAACATTTATGGATACGGTGTGAGGGGTCCTTTATTATGTTTAGTGGCCTTCTCCTGCAGAATCTCTGGAAGAGGTCTTGGACAGAGGAAAGGAAACTCTCGGCTGCTCCAACTAGTCTCTGCAGTCATGTTTTGTCTGACATACTGCAGCTAGAATACCACGCTGACACACATTATGACAACCACACCACTTAAAAAAATTCTGAGGATGCTGGTGAGGAGAGGGACTTGTTTCAAATTCCTTTCTTTGCTTTTTGGATCACTGAGATTTTCTGATGCTAGTTCAGACCTTGCAAGATCTCCACACCTAGGAACCTGACATCTTCCTCTCCCTCTACTGATTGGCCGCTGATGCTGAAGGGGGGAGCATGCTTGATCCACACCTTGTGAAAGTCGATGATCACCTTTTATGCTTCGGCTACATTTAGCACCCGATGGTTCTCCCTACACCAGCCCTCAAGGTGTTCAACTTTTTTTCAATGCAATGATTCATCATTTCCACGAATCAGTCCCACCACTGTGGTATCATATTCGAACTTAATGATTAGGTTACCCTCATATCTAGATACACAGTTGTATGTTAGCAGCGTAAACAACAGTGGGCTGAGAACACAGCCTTGAGAAGATCCAGTGCTCAGTGTAATAGGCTTGGAGTTGTTTTTCCCAACATGGAGAGACTGAGGTCTCTCAGTCAGAAAGACCAGGATCCAGAGACATACGGTGGTGTTCAGGCCAAGTAAGGAGAGTTTCTCTATTAGTCTCTGTGAAATCATGAGCTAAACCCAATGTACAGGAGTCTGGCGAAGGTATCTTTCAGGTCCAGATGGGTGATGACCGAGTGTAAGGTGGTGGACATTTTTTCCCAGTTTAGGTTTCTTTAGTTATTTGTCATCCCTCATTGCCTGTTTTGCCACTACGCCACTTTGTTAATAAACATCACTAGCTTTGGTTCTGTGACTGTTTTTGCTGGGGGGTCCGAGGAGCCTGTCCGGCCATCATCCTCGCCTGCAGCGCCACCCTCGCCTGCAGCATCAGCATCATTCACCCTCGCCTGCAGCAGCAGCATCCTCCGCTTCGCCTGCAGCACCCTCATCCTCCGCTTCGCCTGCAGCAGCCTCCGCTTCAGCTTCTGCCTCGCCTGGTGCTGCTGGGGCCACGCCGCCTTCAGGTCCCCAACTGCCGCCTCACCATCGTCGGTCATCTGCCAGGCCGCATGTTGGGCATCATCGCCACTGTGGATGACCTCCTGAACGCTGCCGCTGCCTTCCGCGCGGCCGGCCTCTGGACTTGTGTCGCCGTCACCACTGCCTTCCACATGGCCAGCCTCCGGAGATAAACTGTTCTGGACTGCTGTGCCGCCGTCCTCCAGGTCGGCCTCCCGAACTGTTTTGGATCTGCTCTCTGTGCTTCGGGGGGTTTCTTTTGGTTGTTTTTGGACTCCTGTGTGTTCTCCTGCCTGTTGCTGGTTCGTCTGTGTTCCACGGTGTCTTTTTCCTTATCTGCGTCTCTCTGCCTCTCACAC